ACCTCATTATTCTTAACCCAATGGCGCCGGGTGTACAAAAGAAAAAAAAACTCTTCGCTTAAACAAACAAAGGCGGCGCGCCGACTTTGAGCGCGTCAGTAGGGGACATCAGCCCGAATCACTGGCTCGCCGCGCTTTGGCGCGCCGCCGGCTCGTTTGGCTGCACGCCAGCTTTCGAGCTCTTTGTTTACACGCCGATCGGCGTCACCCGGCACCAAGGGGTTAATCAAGATTACCCCACTCACTTCGACATGTGCAAGTACTCTTTCATGCCTTGACGTTTATCTATACTCCCCTTCTCTCCATTTAGACTTTTATTGATCAGTTTTAGAGCAATAGACCTTATAGTGACCATTTTCCTGTTCTCCTTTCTCCTACTTCATATCTCTTGCTTCCTAATCCCCCACACTGGCACTTTGTTAGGGCTGACTGTTGTACTTTTACTTCACTCTCAACTATTCATTTCCCTCCATTCTTGTTCTTGTCCATTTCAGATATGCTTCAGTGTTTTGTGGTTAATGTCTTAAGAACTGCCTATACACCTATTCCCTAAACCTCATGAGTGTTAGTGGAACTTTGATTTTACCAAAGATCTTTGTTTATCCTACACTTGATCTAATTCCCTCTTTGCTTATCCCTGCCTTATCCCATTTACTCATCCTCTCTACCTTTACTTCTCTTTACCCTTTCCAATACCACCCTACTGCTGTAGAACTGTTGAAGTGTAACGCAATCATTAAATTACCTCCCTCTTTGCCCCTTCCAGTACTATGCCTTCCTGTAGTCCTACATGACCATTGATGTCTAGCACATTTATTTTGCTTTTTAACCATTGACCATTTCTGCCAGTAATGACCTGATAGCAGGGTAAAATAGTCTGCTTTATCAGTGGCTAATATGCATTCTTGCCCTACCAGGTGCTGACATCCTTACCTCTCTTCTTATCTCCTTCCCTATGCTATGAATGATAAGTAATCCAGAATATTTAGCCTTGTTTTGAATCATGTGCTGTATTTTTATTATTATTATTATTATTTTTTGACTCAGACTCATTCTTAATACTTGGATTCCTCAGCTCTTATAGGGGCTATTCACATTATATTGTACATAGTATAGGAGGTCACAGTTATGTCTGGGCTATACAGGCAGATGTGAGAGGTAATTGGTTGGAATTGGTGGTCAGCTGGTATGATATAAGCAATATGACAGACAGGAATTATATAGTATGTTCTGAGAGCAGAAATTAAATACATTTTTTCTTGAAAAATTCCTGTCAAATGTTACTTCGGTGTAGGGTTTCCCAAAGTAAAAATGTTTCCCTACTGCATGACTTTGGTTATAGGATATCAATTGATTGGGATAGCCAACTGTAAATTCACAAAATCCCCAAATCAGAACATTACATAGGTGAGACCTTGCTGTTTTTACTGGTTGGAGACAGAATACAAAAGGACACTACACTATTCTTGTTACAAGTAGGAATAGAAAAAGCTTTTCCTTTCATGCCTGTTCAGTGGAAATAGATATAAAATTTTGAATCTGGAATTTACCATAGGCAGTAATTGGATATACAAGAGAACTCGGGGCTTTTGTTTTTGCCTACAGACTAACACTGCGATTAACTGTTCATTATTATTATTATTATTTTTTTTTTTTTTTTGACATCATGTCTCGGTTTTCTAACTATATATCTATATTTTTTATGTTCATGGGAGTTTCTATTTCTATTTTTTTTCTGAAAATGCAGGTTACCCAAAACTCATTGATTTGTTCTGAGTTAGCTTGTGGTACTAATTGGTTATGGCTGCTTGTATTACCTTGTTGACTACACATCACTTCAGTCACTTCCCATAGTGCAGTGTTTTCCTTGCTTTTTAATTTTTTTTCTTTCATCTTTTTGTAGTATTGACATTAAAAGTTTTTTTTTTTTTCAGACGGCAAAATATCACAAGCATGGACTTATCTGCAGTGAGTGAACAAATTCAAGCTGAAGTACAAATCAAGCAGTTCAGAGATTTTTTGATCCAGTACAACAAGCTTAGTGAAAGCTGCTTTACAGATTGTGTGTGGGACTTCACATCTCGGAATATTAGAAACAATGAGGATTCTTGTGTTGTGAACTGTGTTGAAAAATATACAAAGGTTTGTGTTACCTGCTTTTTTGCCTTAGATATCTGGTTGTAAGTAGTTTACTCTGAACATACAAATGTACATTATGGAATTCATAACTGAAGTAGAATTGTTTCTGGGCTGAGAGTCTTCTAGAGAGGTACTAAGATTATTTTTCCTCTTCCAGGTAACACAGCGCATATCAGAGCGGTTTCAAGAAATTCAAATGCTAAGTAATGAGAATGCAGTGGCTGCTGCTCAGAAGTTGGGAAAGATGCCTGGTGCCTAGCAAGAGTGAGATGAAGATATTTGGTTAGCTTGTAAAGCCATGAAATGAAGAGATAAATGCAATTAATTTTGTTGTTTTGTTAACATGAAGTAATGGTTTTAGGTACTGTCAAAGAACTTTTTATGAAGTCATGCTCTTACATCTTAAGGCATATTTTAACAGCTTTAAATGTAACATACATTTTATATCTCATGTGTACATTCCTGTGTAACATAAATACATGTATTATATGACTTGTGTAATAGTTAGGAGGCTAAGTAGACAAGATGTATAGAATAATTGTATATTGATGCTTATTAGAAATTAATAAGTTTTGAAAATAAATGAAATAAACCATGGCTTAAGTATAGATTTTATCTTTTGTATTTTGAATCTGCAATCTCTTTAGTGCAATGCAAAAGGATAGTGAAGGACTGGATCAACCTTTTCCGTATTTGAAATATGACAGTTGACATCTACTTACAATCCACCCTCTTCCCTTCCCTTTCCTGCCCTTCCCTTTACCTTTTCTTCAACTCATTCTTCCCTAATTATATCTCCGTTTCTCTTGCCTCTACTAGCAGCAGGGTAGGAATCTGATTATTTTTATTAGTGTGTTTGCGTAAGACAATCAGCAGTCTCTCTATCTGGTTCATTCTCTGTCTGTTTGTCTATCTGTTTGTTTGTCTCTCTGTCTGTTTGTCTCTCTGCCTGTTTGTCTGTCTTTCTTTCTTTCTTTCTTTCTTTTTTCTGCCTTTTTTTCTTTTTCTTTTTCTTTTTCTTTTTCTTTTTCTTTTTCCCTCTTCCTCCCCTTTGGTCTCCCTCCCCTTCGGTCTCCCTCTCTTTCTCTCTCCCTCTCTTTCTCTGCCTCTCTCTTTCTTTGTCTGTCTGTCTGTGTCTGTCTATCTCTGTCTGTCTGTGTCTGTCTATCTCTGTCTGTCTGTGTCTGTCTATCTCTGTCTGTCTGTATCTGTCTATCTCTGTCTGTGTCTGTCTGTCTATCTGTCTGTCTCAGTCTGTCTGTCTGTCTGTCTCTGTCTGTCTGCCTCTGTCTCATCTCGTCTCGTCTCATCTCGTCTCTCTCCCTCTCACTCCCCCCCTCTCTCACTCTCCCCCTCTCTCACTCTCCCCCTCTCTCACTCTCCCCCTCTCCCCCTCTCCCCCTCCCTCTCTCTCTCCCTCTCTACCAAATTAAATCCATGTCAGAAACTCTCGAAGAGATTCCAAACTATCTGATGATGACCCAAGATAACATGTCTACGCCTCCACCATCCTTCAGTCTCTCTGCTTCTCTTTCACTCAAAGTAACTGTCAATTTCCATCCTTCTCCTACTCATGTTCTCCCTAACTCCCTTCCTCCCATGCCCTACCTACACACTCCCCTTCCCTGAATTCTCTTCTTCCTGACATTTTTCCTGAAACCATGATCTAGCCACCTTTAAATCCCCCTTTCTCCCTTTGCTAACTCCTACCTTACCCTACGGATATACTTGCAGAATCCCACACTTCTTCCTTGGACATCTAATCACCCTTGTTAATCCCTACCTTAGCCCATTTACTCACCCTTCTTACCCTCACCCTCTTTGTCCCTTCCAATGCCATACTCTCTTGAACTGCTCGACAGTTTTTGATGTGTAGCACATTTACCCTATTCACTACTATACCTTTCTATAGTGCTGTATGTACAGTACATTCATTTTGCTTTATAACAATTAACTCTGTGTGTGTGTGTGTGTGTGTGTGTGTGTGTGTGTGTGTGTGTGTGTGTGTGTGTGTGTGTGTGTGTGTGTGTGTGTGTGTGTGTGTGTACTGTCCGGAATAAAAATCCGAATCCCCTCCTGCAGTTCTTCCTAACACTTCATCTCCTTCCCGTGTCCGTTGCGTCATTCCCTGGCTTCTACTTCACGATGCCTGTCTTTACCCTTCCTACCCACTGATTACCCTCGAATGCTTCCTCTTTTAGTCCCACACATTCGGTCGTCATGTCCCCGCCGTACAAGAGCCGCCTCTGCATATCCTCACTTTTTTACTATTATTATCATATTATGACTAGTATTATTTGTTTGATATAAAAATAACAATTACAATCATCATTATCGGTTTTATATTTATATTCATCTTCATTATCAATATCGTTATCCCTATTGCTGTTCTCGATTAATGATTATGATAATTATAATTATCATTGCTATGACATTATTATTATTATTACTATTATTATTATTATGATTATGATTATAAAAGGGAGTGTTACTATTCTTGGAAAAAAGTTACGATTCTCTCTCTCTCTCTCTCTCTCTCTCTCTCTCTCTCTCTCTCTCTCTCTCTCTCTCTCTCTCTCTCTCTCTCTCTCTCTCTCTCTCTCTGTCGCACGCTCGTACCCACACCCACACACACACACACACACACACACACACACACACACACACACACACACACACACACACACACACACACACACACACACACACACACACACTCTCTCTCTCTCTCTCTCTCTCTCTCTCTCTCACTTGTAAATTATATGATAGATATTTTCAGATAAAAAGGCGTCTGTTTTTTTCTTTGGGCTTTCCTTATCATAGTGTATACCGGTGATAAGTAAGGTCATGTATAATAAAAA